CTCAGCCCAATTAACTGAATGTCTGTGTGAGAGAATTTTTTGCTGTTGTGCAGAATTGGAATGGGGTGGGCCACAGTAGCAGTAAGAATTGAACCTAAGCTATAGTCCCTTTTTTATTTTCCCTTTTTAAAATGTCTGCTACTGGCTTCTATTTTTTGCAGCCCATTTGCCCTTTTCACTGTGTGTGTCTCTGTTCCATATGGGGTGGGTGGCAAATATGACCTAAAGGCAGCAATTGGCTACTCCAGCCACTAAGGCAGTGAAGCTGTTGAGCAGAATGTTCCTTTTCCCTTCAACAAATGCTTTTGTTGAGTAAAGTGAGTAAATTGTCGTAAATTGCACATCTAAAAGAGCTGAGGGAGGGAGGAAACAGGTCATAGGCTTTCCCTGAACACTAGAGGTTTTGTGTCGAGGGCACTGAGTTTTATCCCTCATCCCATGCTAGAGCCCTTTGTTCCCTCCATTTTCATGATTTTTTTCATTATATGGATAAATACAAATATGTACAAATGCTTTGCAATGTTTGGATATAAACTGAATCAGGCATGCTATAAATCAGCTCACAGTAAATCGTGATTTGGAAAACCAATAATTCAGACCAAATTAAAGCAGATGGTATTAAGAACATAAAAAGAGCCCTGCTGGATCAGGCCAAGGGTCCATCTAGTCCAGTTTCCTGTATCTTACAGTGGCCCCACCAGATGTCTCTGGGAGCACATGAGACAACTAGATACCTATCTCCTGATACCACTCATCTGCATCTTGTCAAGATTTGTTCCTTTAAGTGAACAAGGGGTTAAATTTAATATTGTAGTGAGAATGCAAAGTCATGCCTGTAAACATCAAGTAAATGGATGACTGATGGCATGCAGCTGGAACAAGCTTAGGTAGTACTTGTTAACCACATTCAGCTGCTATGTCTGCAGTGATAGGCTGCTCTCCCTATTTAAGCAAGAGAGTGAGAACAGCCCTTTGCCACTCAGTTGTGAGTCTGGTAGTCATTACTTCTGTGAATGTTATGTTGAGAAATCTATGCACAAGCCTATGCATATAATGTCATGTATCTGATCAATATTAATATATGAAGTCTAATATTTTATGCTTCATGCAAAAGGCAGGACTGGATGAATCTCAAGCTGGAATTAAGACTGCTGGAAGAAATATCAGCAACCTCAAATATGCAGATGATAATGCTCTGATGGCAGAAAGTGAGGAGGAATTAACGAACCTCTTAATGAGGGTGAAAGACGAGAGCACCAAAAATGGT